AAAAAAAAAAAAAAATTTAAAGTGAAGTATTGCCATAAAACATATTTGTATATATTGTGAAATGATCACCACAATGAATCTAGTTAAAATCTGTCACCATCCAGTTACAAAAAGTGTGTTTTTCTTGTGATGAGAACTTTTACCCTCTTAGCAACAGTGAAATACACAATATGGTATTATTAACTATATTACATTCCCAGGACTTAAAAAAATCTGATTCTCATAAGTACCTCCCTAGGTAATTTTAATGTGTAGCCAGGCTAAGAACCACTAATATACTAGTAGAGAAACTGGGTGAGTTTTTTTTCGTCTCATTTTTAGCATTTTTGAAATTTTCTGAGGAACACAGGTTAAAAAATTAAAAAAAACAAAACCCCATTGCAGCTGATAGAGAAGGAATGAAAACTTAGGAATGGCTTTAAGCATCCTTAGAGACTGGTGAAAATATCTGGAGACATTTTGGCTCCCAAAGAAAAAATAGCTATGTGGAAAATAGAACAGGTGGCTTTTGGGGCAGTTTTCTGTCACTGTATTGCATGACTTCTCTGGAGGGGCTTCCCCAGCCACCTCAACAGCTCCCTCCCATATGCACGCTGGAGTCCCAGGACTACTTCCTTCGTTGCAAGAAGGACATTGTACTGGGGCGCCTGGGTGGCTTAGTCATTTGGGTGACCAGCTTTGGCCCAGGTCATGATCTCACAGTTCATGAGCTCGAGCCCCGTGTCAGGCTCTGTGCTGACAGCTCAGAGCCTGGAGCCTGCTTCAGATTTGGCGTCTCCACCTTTCTCTGCCCTTCCCATGCTCATGCTCCGTCTCTCTCTGTCTCTCAATAATAAATAAAACGTTTAAAAAAAAAAAAAAGACATTGTACTGTAATTATGTTTGGATGTTTGTCCACAAAATAGTATTTTTCTCACAAAACAACTTTGCTCTTGAGAACCAATCCGCGTAAGGAAAATCCTTGGTGAGGAAATGAATCAACAAAAGTCCAAAGATGAAGAAGGTACTATAGTAAACCATGGTGGGGAGCCCATGGCCCAAGAGGCACTTGTCAAAGAAAATCTGTAGCGAGCAGCTAAGTGTCCTCTCCAGGGTCCCCGGTCGTCTGCACAAGTTTCTGCAACATTTTTTTATCCGTGCCTGTTTTTTTTTTAATGTTTTTTTTTTTTTTTTTGAGACCGAGAGAGAGAGTCGGGGAGGGAGACACAATCCAGAGCAGGCTCCAGGCTCTGAGCTGTTAGCACAGAGCCCTTTGCGGGGCTCAAACTCAAGAGCCATGTGATCATGACCTGAGCCGAAGTTGGATGCTTAACCAACTGAGCCACTCAGGCGCCCCCTCCCCTCCCCCTGTGCCCTTTTTAAATAAAACTCTCGGAATTTCCTTTGGCAAACTTTTGATCTTGGGCATTCATATTTAAAAAGAGAAAAACTCAGCTTAAGTTTTTTTTCCAAATGCAAAATTGTGGTAGGGACTGTAGTTTTGGGAGGATACACTTCATGTGGCATTGGATGGCTAGAGGAGACCCTGTTCTGGTTTACAGCCGAGAGAATACGGAGGACACCAAGTTGGCCCCAGGCTTCAAGTTCATCTTGGGCACCTTCCCACCTCCCTCTCTGACCTGACTTCCTCCTTGCTCCTCCTTGACCTGTTTGTCTGGTATGCAGCCATGCTCCAGTCCTCTCCAGGAGTCTTACCTGCCGTGGCCTGAGCAATGTTCCAAAATAACTGTTCCCTCCTTTGCCCCAAAGCTCATTCATTCCCTTAGTTAACTGGCATGGCCCTGTTTGTTGAAAGGATTCTGTCTTATAACTTTTCTCTCTCACTTGGCCCTTTTGTCTTGTATTTTCATGCACTGGAATGTATTTCATGCACTGCCGCATTGCTAACTGGGACTCTGAACTAGTCACTTAACCTCCCTCAGGAAACGAGCTATTGCCTGTGTTAGCTGCTGCCGTCCCCCTGAAATGAGTCCCTGGGCCTGGAGTCCCAGGATGGCACAGGATGCAAAATGAACAGAGAAGGCTCACCTGATGTTCATATTTTATGAACCAAGGTGACATTTTAATGGTCTTTTAAAAAAAAAAAAAAGCAAAGTCACATATCAAACATCAAAACTCAAAAGTTTTCAAAATTAAATCACATGTATATAGACTTGAAAAATCACATTAACTAAAAAGGACACAATTGTTCCTGAAATGGAGACAGGCCTGGAGATTCCGGGCTGCTTCAGTCATCGTGACCCTCAGTCTTCAGAGCATTTTCACCGAACACCTGTATCCTCATACAGGCCCAATGGTCTCACACAACTGCCAGCTTGAACCTCTAGGATCAGGAATAGCCACACCTGCAGCATATTCATGAACAGTTTATTAAGAGGCCAAAGTTCAGGGAAGTCCAGTGACTGGATGAGTTCTCAGCCGAGCCAAATCTCCTTTTATGATGTGGAAACCAGGGTTTAGTATAGTCCAAAGTTACACGAAAAGTGAGAACACAATCACAATGAAAGCTCATCTTCGGCCCGGAGTTTGTGAACTCTAAGTAAACGCTAGTCTACATACAGTGTTCCTTCTGGTGGGATGGGACCCAAGCCGCACCCTAAAGAATGTGTGGTGTAGAGAAAGCACACAGTGAGAACAAAGGATGCTTCAGGCAGAAGGGAGAGAATGAACCATAGTTCATTGTTCAATGAACATAGCCAAGAGCATTCATTCAACATTCATTAACCCACAAGCCTGATTCTGTGAGAGGGGATGCCTGAGGGGAGGACAAATCATCCCGTGTGATCAAGACCCAGGACAAATGGGCAGTACAGGCCTGACAGAGAAGGACTTGGAATATTCTCCTAGGGCAATCTGAGTATATTCCGCAGGCAGTGGGGAGTCAGAGGATTATTCACAATGGGATGGGTTTTGTAAAGAGATTTAAGGGAAATGTAGGTTGACTTCCAACTTAGGGAGTTAAAGACGCCACAGGACAACCAGCCAGGTGGGGATGGCCGGAAGGTGGCCAGATGCACAGAGGTAATGAGGCGAGGTCTGGCGAATGGACAAAACAATTAAAAGACAGAGACTAGTCATTCACCAAACATTCATCACATCGCTTCTCTCTGTCTTAAGGCACCGATGGAAGCTGGGATACAGCAATGAATGAGACACACAGCCTCTGCCTCTTGGAGCTTATGACTGAACTGGAGAGAGATTCGTGGCCACTGCACAGTCCTTTAAGTACAGCGGTGCTAAATGCTGCAGAAAAAAAGCACTCGGTCTGTGAGCACTCGGGAAGAGCTGACCTGGCATGAGGCCTTGGCGAAAAACTTTCCCGTGCAAAGGATGCTTGACCCAAACCCGGAGGGGCGGAAAGGACTGGAGTGGAACAGAGCATCCCAGGCAGAGAAAACAGCATTCAGAGGTACCGCGCAGCAAGGGAGAAGCTGGGGAATGGGTGGCGGGTGGAAACACGAGGCGTCAAGGGCAACAAAGTACAAACGAAGACACCCGGGTCAGACTCGAGAATGGCTTATGGAGTCAAAAAGGAGACGAGTCTGGCTGCAGACAACAACATGGGGGAAATCGGGCGAGCCAGGACAGGACTACACAGAGACAGCTCTTGAAGACTAAGCCAAGAAAACGAGGGTGAACGCCAGCACCAAAGTAGGAGAGGGTGGAGTGTCATCAGTAAGGGAAGCACGTTCTAAAAATGGTCCACAAATCGAGCTGGGCTTCCCTGTTTTGGTAACAGCTCAGGAAAGCCCATTTTCAAAAACAGTGATCTTTTCAAAGAAGTCAAATTATTTACAAGCGCCAACTACACGTGGCCCAATCTTGGAAAAATACACATATATGCAAAACAAACTGGAGAAGTACAACTGGCGACAGAAACAACCCCAAAGGATAACCATTCGAACCGCGCTACAGACGCTCTCTGTTCTTTACACCGTCGGTTATAAAGCAGCCCTTAGTTTTTCATCCTCCCGACGTCAAAAGTACACAGATTTAGTTAAAGTCGATTCCATGACAAGTGACACTTTTATGGGTTCCTCGTGTAGATGAAACTCCGTGTGCACCACTCTGTTATTCACCTGGAAGATCAAAGTACAGACTGTTCAAAAGCCCTGAGCGAAAGCCTTTTAGTCAACCCTACGGAGTGAAATGGCAGAATTCTATGCATTTCGGAAAGCAATATGCAAATGGCGGTGGAAGGAACATGGCCCCCCCAAGTGCCTGGAACGCAGCTCACTGGACTCCAGGGTCCACAGACCTGGGTTTGGTCTCAACTTGCCCCTGGGGATTAGTAGGCAAGAGAACCCGCCGTAAAATGAAAGGGTTGCGCTATGTTATGTCCAAAGCACCCCGTGGCCCTATAATCCCAGGGTTGGTTGTGAGCACATCAGCCACCCTTCCATGTCACTGGGCCGTGAGGGCCTTTAATGCAAAGGCCCCATCATGCTCATTTATGGATTTTTTTTTTCTTTGCCAGTGTTTACTCAGCAAGCACTTTAAAAATAAAGGGTGTTCGGTAAAGGCTTAACGAACGTCGGTCAGCCAACCAATTTTTCAGCTAGCCTTAGCTACGATGGATTTCCATTTACAGTTGGCCAAATCTGTCTTTATTATAACATTGCTGAGAAGCTGACAAGAAACTGTTTTCTCAGAGAAATTGAGCAATAGAAGATACTCGGGCATATGGTTGGAATGGGTGTCAAAATTGTCTGTGGTCCCTCCCTTTCACGTCCCACCCCCACCCAACTCTGACCTCAAATGAGGTGAGAAGGAGTTTGAAGGGCTGTTAAGCATCATATGTAAATTATTAAAATTAAATCTTTCTATTTTAAAGAAACAAAAATAGTTACCATACCTTGGGCAGGTGTGGAGTAATTCATATGTAATTGTGATTAGGGCATGAACTCTAGAAGCACTCTGCCCAGGCTGGGGTGCCAGCTCGGCCACCGACTCGCCCCCATCTGTCACAGGGGATGTGAATCCCAGGAGGTCCCTGAGGGGTGTTGGAAAGCTTAACTGGACCCGTATCTGGGAAGCGCAGAGAATGGTAACTGGCGTGGAGTGGGCCACGCGATCGATGTTAGCCTCGCTGTTACTGGGCGCTTCTCTGATCTCTTCTCATTAGCTCTCTGTGGGCATAAACCTCTTCAATCCTGATATGATAAACTACAATAATTGGGCCATTCTCCAAACTAGGGTTCGTGTGCAAATCCACCGCCATTATCGAGCACGTGTTCATTCAGTGAATGTTTACTATGGGCTACAAGCTGGGGAGACAAATGTGAGCTGGAGTCTGTCCTTAGAGATGTCCTAAGGCTCTGCCCTCTTTAGGGGTGCTGAGTCGGGCCAAAGCTAGCTGCCATGGTGGGCTACACAGCAGGCAGGGTCTTTAAAGCTCACCTAATATCCAATGCCCTTCTATTACCAAGGAACGGAAGGTGTCATTCTGTTTCCCTCGGCAGGTGGCTCAACCATGTTTTCTGAATGCTACGGTCATTGTAAGTCATGATCGGCCCATCACTTCCAAGCAACTTTTCAGTATCTCTCCTATTTTCATGGGTAAAGCCAACCTCATGAAAATGCTCCGATCAAGTACATGAATGAAGCACGTGTTCACTTAGAATCTACTTACTTTGGTGAAAAAGTCAGCGATGTGCCACTTATTTCCATGCTGTTTAAAGACCTCAGCCATCGCTTCAATCATCACCGAGCCCGTGCGAGGGTGCCGTAAAGCAACGTGATCTACAAAGTGAAAATATTTCATGTGTTTTCCTCCTCTGGTTGCACCGAACTTTTCTTTTACCCATAGTGAAACCTGTAAAATGGTTTTGAACTGAGAATACGGAAGCATTCTTGTATTAATAGGAGTGGGCCTGGGTCCATAAGAGACACAGACACAAAAAAAGGAAGCACTGAGCCTCCCAGGGGACTCCTGTGACCAACAGCATGTAACCCCTCAAGAGGGCAATTCTCTTCTATCAATCAATTTTTAAAATAAAACTTTTAAAATATTCACAAAAGGAGAAAGCAAAGTTTAACAAACTCCCATATGATCATCCCCCAGATTCAACAGTTATCGTTTTGCCATATTTCCTTCATTTATCCCTTCTTTCTATGTTTCTTAATGTTTATTTATTTTTGAAGGTGGGGGAAGTGAGAGAGAGAGACAGAGAGAGAGAGAGAATCTTAAGCAGGCTCGCACTATCAGTGCAGAGCCCAATGTGGGGTTCAAACTCACCAACTATGAGATCATGACCTGAGCTGAAATCAAGAGTCAGATGACCAGCCAACTGAGCCACCCAGGTGCCCCGTCTATTTTTTTTTTTTTTTTATTTCTGACTTTTGCTATAGGATCTTAAGCTAAATAACCCCCAAATACATCAGTATAGAATTTATTTTGGGGTCCTCAAAAAAATTTAGTGGAATTGTTTTTATTAGTAGTCAGTAAAAAACATGAAACGTGTCTTTTTTTAGTGTGGAAATTTGATGGGAATATCAAAATCGTACCCTCTGATAATAAATCTAGGTTGGAACAGAAAAAAAAACATGGATACACCTTTGCAATCTCAATATAGGCAAAGGTTTCCTAGAACACAAAAAGCATAAGCCACAAAAGAAAAAGATGCTAATTTGGACTTCATCGAAATTAAAAACTTTTGTTTTTTGAAACACGTTATTAAGAAAATGAAAAGCAAGCCACAGTTTGGGAGAAATATTTGCAATACATACCAGGCAAAGAACTTGTATCCAGAATATACAAATAATTCTCAGGGGTGCCTGGGCGGCTCAGTTGGTTAAGCGTCCGACTCTTGGTTTCGGCTCAGGTCATGATCTCCCAGTTTGTGAGCTCGAGCCCCACTTTGGGCTCTGTGCTGACAGCACAGAGCCTGCCTGGGATTCTCTCTCTCCCTCTCTCTCTGCCCCTCCTCTGTCTCTCAAAATCAATAAACTTAAAAAAAATTAAAAAGAAAATAATTCTTAGAACTTCATAAGAAAACCAACAACCCAACAAAAAATTGGACAACACACACGAACAGACATTAAGCAAAAGAAGATATGTGAGAGGACAACACGTACGGGAAAAGATAATCACTAGGCCTCCAAGAAATGCAAATTAAAACTACAAGGTGATACTATTCTATACCCATCAGACTGTCTAAAATTTAAAAACAGATCAAACCAACTGATAATGAGGATGTGAAGCAACTGGAACTCTCATATGCTGCTGGCAGAAATGTAAACAATACAACCACATTGAAAAAGAATTTTCAACTTGGCAGTTTCTTTAAAAGTCAAACACACCTACTATGTGAACCAACCATTCCACTTCTTCGTATTTACCCAAGGAGAACAAAAACATACGCCCAAAGATGTACACACGTGTGTTCACGGTGGCTTCATCTGTAATAAGCAAAACCTAGAAACAACTTAAATGTTCAGTAACAAGTGAATGGCTGAGCGCATTGTGTTAACATTGTGTTATATTCACACAACTAAATACCACTCAGAAATAAAAAGGAATGAACCACTGATATACAAAACGACATGGGTACAACCCGAAACCATTATGCTGAGTGGAAGAAGACAAGAAGGGAGGGAGGGAGGGAGGGAGGGAGGAAACCTACATGCTATATAATTCTAGTCCTATAAAATTCCAGAAAATATAATCTAATCAGTGGTAACAGAAAACACAACCGTGGTGACTCAGGGATGGGGATGGAGGTTGGGACAGATTCAAACATGAAGAAAACTTTTTGCGGTGACGGCAATATTTGCTTATCTTGATCATGGTGATGGTGTCATGAACACATACTTCCATCTGTTCAAATGGTACACGTGGAATATGTACAGCTCATACTTCAACTATATCTCCATAAAGTTGTAAACAAATCCACAAAACGTATCTGTTTAGTATAGGAACCATACAGCAATTTCAGTATTGTCCCTCTTGGAGTAAATATGAGTTAGAAACACCACATCACGATGTTTGACAATCCATCCAGTGTTCTTCAAACTGCAGGTTGCGGCCCAATTATCAGCCAACAAATCAATTTAGCATACTGAAACTGTATTTTTTAGGGGTGCCTGGGCAGCTCAGTCAGTTAAGCATCCAACCCTTGATCTCCGCTCAGGTCATGATCTCATGGTTGGGAGTTCAAGCCCCATGGCTCATCCCATGCTTGGGATTCTGTCTCTCCGTCTCTCTGCCCCTTCCCCGCTTGTACTTTCTCTCTCTCTCTCTTTCTCAAAATTAATTAATTAATTAACTTAAAAAAATGAAACTGCCTTTTTTGAAAATGGGATAAAATGGGATATAGTAGAAAATATTAAAGTACATCAATGCAGCAAGGGTAGCTATAATTTATAAAACTAGTGTGTTACATGTGTATTTATACTTTTACATAAATATATGTGATAGACTATAATGAAGTGTAGATTTTATCAATTCTAATATTGAAGTTTTCTGCCCCCCCCCCCCCCACTTAGGCATCTCTGAAATCTGGATGTGTTATATAATCTCTTCCGTGTCACAGAGTAATTAATTGGTAGCTCCCTGAGGACACAAAATAATGGTATGTCTTACAATCAAGGCATTAGATTTGATGCAACACAATAGCTCTTTCTTCCTGTAGGTTGTGGCAAATAACATTTGAAAGCCTCTAACCTAACACGGTCGGCAACCCCGTGGAGGATGTGCCAGTCAGCAGAGCGAAAATCAGTGTAGCTGCCAAGCATCTTATTAAATGAAAGATTATACATTTCTTGTCACTTTGAAAATAATCAGCTATTGTCGTCCATGGCCACGGGTTCAGTCCTCAGGACAGACTCTAGGCCACAAAAAATTGAGTCTGATGAGTAAAAATGGAGAACTTTAGACTCGGGCTGAAAGCTAGTGAATTTCCGCAGATTTACCAAACAGGGTCAAATTAAAAAGTCATCAGGACCGGGATTCCCCCAACATTGCATTAGATGATGACTCTGGCCATAGAACAAGAGCTCCAATCACTCACAAGACTAAAAACAAGTAGCCAATGAACACATGAACACTTTATAGCTTCTCTTATATATAGGTGAGATGGCTTGGTCACAGGCCAGGAGGGACAGGCTCTAGAACTCACAGGGGTCAGGTAGCTGCTATAAACTTCAACGGTGAACTAGATGTCGGAAGCCCGAAGTTTGTTGAAATCTACTTTCTAAAAGAGGATAACTTTAAAATGTTTTAAATCCACCTTTTTTGCCCTTGATCTTAGCCAAAAGTCAAGCCGTGATTAAATCCATTGTTTGAATAGATAATACATTCAAATGGTTCACAATTCATCTATCAGTAGATGAGTAGATAAAAATATAGATGTATATTTATCTTACATGGACACCCATGCACACACACACACACATATGCACAAGAGAATATTACTCAGCCATAAAAAAGAAAGAAATCTTGCCAACATGGATGGACTAGAGGGTATGCTGCTAAGTAAAATAAGCCGGACAGGGAAGACCTGCCATATAATTTCATTTGTATCAGTGGAATCCAAAAAGCAACAAAAAATGGACTCAAACACAAATGGTTCACAATTCAAATTATAAAAGGAATCCATCAAAGTCTCCCTCCCGCCTCATCCCACGCCCAAGAAATCAAACTCACGATCTGTGAGATCACAACCTGAGCCACCCAGATGCCCCATAGCTGTCTTATTTTCAGTAACTGTTGCATTTGAAACTTCACCATGATGATTCTTTTCAACTGCGGCACAGTATCCTACAGTATGAATATACCACTCCCAGTGGCTTTTAGATTCCTGCCCCTTCATTTGCCCCACTAAGCAACTTCAAAGGAGTGCCCAGAGTAGAGTGCTTGACTCAGCCCCATTCATCACTTTCCTGGTATTAGCACTGAAAAGTCCAGTCCCGGGAAACCCCTCCATCTCAGGCAAACTGAGACAGTCGGTCATCTTGTCCATGTATATACATGTGCAGGAGATTCCTCTGTGCAGAAGCTCCCAAACTTTCTCAGTTCATGGTGCCCTTAGTGTCTCAGTAATTTTTTCACAGCACTCCTAGGCCAAAAGAAATACCTAAGAGATCCATTTACTAAAGTAGTTAGTTCCAAGCTCAGTATTGATATCTTAATAGCTGGGGCACCTGGGTGGCTCAGTCAGTTATGTGACCGACTATTGATTTCGGCTCAGGTCATGGTCTCACAGTTTGGTGCATGAGATCAGGGAGGGTCTCTCTCTCCCTCTCTCTCTCTTTCTTTCTCTCTCTCTCTCAAAATAAATAAACACTTTTTAAAAAGTTACATCTTATAATGTGAGGGATACAGTAAAAGCAGTACTCAGAGGGGATTATTTGAAAATGCTTATATTTTGGGGACGCCTGAGTGGCTCAGTCAGTTAAATGTCTGACTTTGGCTCAGGTCATGATCTCACAGTTTGTGAGTTCGAGCCCTGCGTAGGCCTCTGTGCTGACTGCTCAGAGCCTGGAGCCTGCTTCAGATCTGTGTCTCCCTCTCTCTGCCCCTCCCCTACTTGTGCTCTGTCTCTCAAAAATGAATACATGTTAAAAAAAATTTTTTTTTAATGCTTATTTTTTGAAAAGAGAGAAAATAATGAGCCAAGTATCTAACCAAAATAGTCGGGAAAAGAAGAGTAGAATAAACCTCCAAATGAAGAAAAATGGAAATTTTAATGAAAATTTATGAAATCAAAATTAACGAAATCAAAAACCTATACTAGAGAGAATGAACAAAACCAGAAATAGGTTCTTTTTTTTTTTTTTTTGAGAGAAAGAGAGAGAGGGCACAAGTGAGCAAGGGGCAGAGAGAGAGTGAGATTGAGAAAATCCCACGAGGGGCAGAGAGAGAAGAAGAGAGAGAGAGAGAGAGAGAAAGAGAGAATTCCACTCAGGCTCCGAGCTGTCAGCACAGAGCCCAACTCAGGGTCGAACTCACAAACCGTGAGATCATGACCTGAGCCGAAGTCGGATGCTTAACCAGATGCTAAGCCCGGCACCCCTAAAAATAGGTTCTTAATGAAACCACTGGCAAGACCGATCAAGATCAAAAGAAGGAAGCCACAAATATTAGAGATAAAGGAGCATTACTATAGACTTACTGGACATTTCGCGTGATTAAAGATACAACAAACCCTATGCCAAGAAATAATTTTTTGTTTTTCTCCCACAGAGAAGCCAGTTTTCCTAGCAGTACATATTGAACAGCCCATTTTTTCAACACTAATTGGTGATGGCTTGTCACATACCTAGTTGTCCTGCATATCTGGTTCTGCGTGTACATTCTCTGTTCTATTCTAGTGGTCTGTGTATACATAGAATTTTTATTATTGTTATATACTAAGTATTCTTTTTTTTCCTGTTGATTTATTTTTGACAGAGACGTAGAGACAACAAGCAGGAAGGGACAGAGAGGGAGACACAGAATCCAAAGCAGGCTCCAGGCTCTGAGCTGTCAGCACAGAGCCCGATGCGGGGCTCGAACTCACAACTGTGAGATCATGACCTGAGCCGAAGTCGGATGCTCAACAGACTGAGCCACCCAGGCGTCCCTATATCCTAAGTATTCTTATGTCACAAGTTCTCTCAAACATCTCATGTCCCTCAAATGTCCACACAACAATCAGCTGCTCCATGGGGACATCTCTACACATCTCTTTTTTAAAACGGCCATCTCCACTCCTCTCCCTCGATACTCCCTATAACCCTCATCCCTGCATTATTCTTCTCCATAGCACTTATCAGCATTTAACAGATTTTATTTTATTTTATTTTATTTTATTTTATTTTATTTTATTTATTTTTGGTAAACATTTCACTGAAAGGGAACCATCCCATAGCAAAGTGTGCAAAGCCTTAGGGGTACAGAAGAGCTCCATAAACTTTCATAAAGTGAACACACCCCATAACTAGAAACATCTAGAAACAAGATGATGCCGGCATTCCAGAAGTCCCCTCCTTGCCCCCTCTGGTCATTACCACCCCCAACACTCTGCAGCGCTGAGGGCAAATAGTATCCTGACTTCTAACACCACAGATGAGTTTTGCCTGTTTCAGAGCTTTATATAAATGGTATCGTAAAGTAGCACAACATATAGTTTCTGTGTTTCTCGTCTGTCTCCCCCACTAGTGCAGAAGTTCCGTGGAGGCAGAGAATTTTAGTTCTTCTGTTCAATACTGAGTCTCTAGCCCTTAAATGTATATACAATCCAGCAGTCATAAAACTCATTTGTTCCATAAAACTGGAGCTTGAGGTTTCTCGCCTTGACCCTGAACTGTTCCATAATAATTCTGCAGTTAGTTTATATCAGGAGCTCATTTCCTTTTATCGCTGACTGGTAGTCCACGTGGGGCACACCGGGATTTGTTTATTCGCTCACCTGTTGATGGTCACTTGGGTTGTTTTCAGTCTTTGGCTATTTCAAATCAAGCTGCTATGAACTTCTGTGTGCCAGTCTCTGTGAGGCCACATGCGTTCATCTCTCTTGGAGAAACAACCAAGGAGTGAGATCTTTCGTCTAACCCTAGTGGGGAAGTTTCTCGCATCTTACCACTAAGGATGGTTTCATTTTAAGTGGTGGCCCTTAGTTTCCTTTGCCTGCATTTCTTCGCTCACATTTTATATCAAATTCCACATAGAGATTGAATATATATATATATATATATATATATATATATATATATA